CCGTCTGCCAGATTGTAATAGTTCAAAAAAAGAATGTCCCGGGTGAGATGGATCCTTAAGAATGTTTTGAGCTTTCTTAAGGCAGCGGGAGTTTGTGTCAAATGCAGTGGCCTGGGTGCTCATGGGTGTTTGTGGGCATGTATAATGACACCTCTCCTGCACTGGCTTCCTATCAGCTTTGGGGTGTAGTTTAAAGTGCTGGTCTCAATTTATAAAGACCTTTATGGCTTGGCACTGCGTTACCTGTGGGATTGCATTTCCCGGTTAAAATCATCCTGATCACTGCAATCATGCTAGGAGAAGCATCAGGTTTCTTCCATTTCCAGGAGGTTGCAGGGGGCTGAAGCCTGCAAGTGTTATGTTTGAAAGCTCTCCAGTTCTTAATTTCCTTTATACATACATCCCTCTCAGAAATATGATGTCACAGTTACAGATCTATGCAACTAATGGAAAGGACCTCTGCAGGGGTGTTGCTCTTTTGGTCCAATTCACACAAACCAGTTGTTTGTTGATGTTGCATGTCAACTTTTGTCATTCTGCACTAATCTGAATAAAACATACAATTATTACAATTGTTGTAAAACATACAATAGAAAATGGGGGCTGGACAGGCTGGCAGGAAGATTGACAGCAGTAACAGGAACTTGTTGGGAAGTTAGGTAAAGTAGGCTGGTAGGCATATTGGCAACAGCAGTGTGAAGACATTAGGAAGATGGGGAGGATACATCCAAAATAGTTGTTGCCTCAGTTAGATAGCACCTCCATCCAGTGTGTACAGTGGTTACGGTATTGGATCAGGAGCAGGGAGACCCAGGTTCTACTCTACTCTCAGGCATAGAAGCTCACTAGGTAACTTTGGGCCAGCCCAACTCCCAAGGTGGTAGTTGTCGGGAAAAATAGGAGGGAGTACTATGTACGTCACCTTGAGCTCCTGTACAAAAGGTGGGATATATATGAAACAGATAGGTGGATAAACAGACAAGCAGCTGGATGAATCCTCTGATTTGGACACCAGCTGGTAATGTTCCAAGAGACCCATTGTATGTCATGCTGTCTCATCCTTAGGCAATCAGTTGCATAATGGAGGACCCTAGAGCCTTCTTCTACAATGATTCATAATTGTCAATTGTTAATCTTTTCTCTTGGGACTTATTTCTGGATAACTGATTTTGAAAAAAAATACAACACTAGACTCTGGTTTCTGTACACAGTTATTTGATGTGGAAGTATGGAACAGGCCACATCCATACAAAAGGGTGGAGAAAGACATGCTATATGGGAAACTTACCAAAACTGTTTCATGCAACTCTGCAGTTTGATGAAGGATGAAGGCTGCCTACATAGGCACACTTCTTCAATTAATAGGCCGTTTGTTTCCCTACTGTTGCAGACTCAACTATCATGTGTTACTCCAATACTTGCGTTCTCAGAAAAACTGTCACATACAGCTCTGAGGTGCAAAGAATTTCAACTGAAAGAATCTTAGCTAGTGCAGGAGAGAGCCTTCTTTGGGATCATATTTGGTTCTTCTCTAAAACCCCTTTCTCCATTCATGCTTGCTCTTTCAAGAATAACAACAGGGCCCTTCAAACCTTACAGTACACTTCCAATCAACTGTACCTGGTATGATAATTGATAGTTTATAGAACTTGCTGTTCCCCAAGAACTGCAGGGGCATATTTGGTCTACCTGTGCTATAGGAGAACACCTTGTTTTTCAGGTGTTTAATACCTGGATGAACAGGTGACTTTCAGTGTACCATTTTATTATGTTGCATAGTTCTATATTGGTGTGATTTTGTGGATTTATTAGTCTTATTTATGGGATTCATAACAATTGTATTGCTTTATGTCTTTTAGTTTTAGGTAACACATTTTTTTATAATGCATGTTTTTATAATGCATTTTAAGCACTATTCAGGAAACTTTATTGACTAGTATTTTTCTGCAGGTATGTACTTGTTATTGTTTATAGGTATTCAGAAGCCTGAACATATGTAGAAGTACTGACAAATGAACTCAGGGTTGCCACGGTATTTGTACCATTTATTTGTAAAAATATCCAGCTGAATGCATTTTAATATTAATTTGCAGTTAAGAGAGTCCATTACAATGAATACAGCATTCAGTAGTTGAAAAGATATTAAACTTGAATACGCTTAGTCTATGGTCCAAAGTAATATCTCATATCCATTTTTTACAACCATGTCATTTAACACATTGGTTAATTAAAATTCAGTTTACATTTTAAAAAAATTAGCAACAAACCATTCAACAATATTTCATACTGTTTATTACAAATATTTCATACAAAATGTAACACTGGCACCAGATTCATGACACCATGGTTTGTAAAGATATATTGCACATGCTAAAAGCATAAAATATGCAGACAAAACTACAAAACATTAGATATTGGCTTTTTAATATGTATGTCACTGCATTACAAACACATATAGCTGCATTTAATACACACTCAAGATTGTCACCATTTTAAAACACACTTCCCAATAACACTGACTTAAGGTTTGCTTTGTGTAATAAGAAAGTGTCTGCAGCACTTCAAAAAATTGTGTACAATTCCTATACAAATTTAGCATATTAATTTTATGTCAACACAAATAGATTTTTTAAAAAGGACAAAGCATTAAAGTAAAGCTTTGAAATGAAAACATATAGGTATTATATTGCTTCAGTATGACTCAAATGAAGGAAAGACATGTTCACAATACATATCCAGCATACACAAATATAAAAAGGCACTCTAAAAGTTTCTTACATGATGAAACTCAGGTGCATTATCAAGTTTCTAAACAGAGAAGACAAGAAATTGAATTTACTCAATTCATAGTTAAATACAAAGGTTTACTATAATAGTACCAAAACATAACATGGTGCCCTTTTAGTAGTGATAAACAGATATCCCCTGAGCTAGTTTATCTTACACTTGAAACAATACAGATCAGCAAGGGGTAAGTGCCATGCATTACAACCCTGCAGCTGAAGTTTCACAAGAATGAAATACAAGCTGCTAACACCGAAACGTGAGTATAGAGAGGTGCATGCGTTATTACTCACCTTCTAGATCATGCTTCTCAATCTTTATCAAATTAACACCACTGATTCCAGTGGCACAGAGTGCTTAGCTTTTGACAAAAAAAAGGTTTAACAAATCAAAACAGGCCTTACCTGATATTTATTACTATAGTTTAAATACAGTACCTTATCTGCTACAAAACCGTATTGCCATTTAGATAAGAAAGCAATTAGAATGGAACCCATTCTACAGTGGGACTGATTGCAAATTTCCCATTTTACATTATGATGGACTTCATTATTCTTTTATTTGAAAGTAATATATATAAAAGAGATCTGTAAGCATTTTTTGTGAAGATGGCACTACAAATGAACGCAGGTCTACTCAGAAATAAATCCTATTAAATTCAAAAGATCGTATAAATGGGCTTTTAGCCCAATTGTCTTTTCAAGACAGTAGGCCGGGGATTGTTGATAGAAAAGAAATTCATGGGACACAATGCAATCTGATCATGAACTCAGAACTATATCCTATTATATTTCCACAGAGCTATGCAGAGGATTTTAGCATAACATGTTGAGGAATTTATTTATATAAGAAGTCACTATCAAACCATTTGTGTGAGAGGTTTACTGTACTGTGAATCACACCCGATGCTGTAGAAGATTTCTGCTTGCTTGGTAGGCTGTCCTTTGACCTCTGTTCCCCAAACTTGCTCTGCAAGGTACGCCCCTACTCTCCTGAAGTTTTATGGGAATGCTGGAGGCTACAGTGGGGTTTGTGCATGTGTGTGGATTTCATGGTGACTAGCTCAATACGATCAGCCAAGAAGAAGGAAGAAGAAAGTGAGATGTTCCTACTTAATTCTACATGGAAACATTGGTTCTTTGTTTCAAGTGATGCTTAATAATATTTAGTAATATTCTACAATATCCACTTCAGTTACAAATGTTACAGTACTAAGAAGGAAAACTTAAAGATTTGTAAGTGTAGTTTGATTACCCTGATTGTTTGGTGGTCAGTTTTATTTCCTTGGTCATTCTGTTTCTCTCATGCCTTCCTGCATAGCCTATATCATTATAATCAAATGCATTGCTTCTTATTTAAACAACAACAACAAACTATTGTCAATAGCTGATAAGTAGGCTCCAGGTTACTCACAACTGATGAGGGCACCTCCATACAACCACTGTTGCTATTCCATGAACTCAGAATGCTTCTGGCAACAGTCTGTTATTGTCCTGATTCAGCTGCTGAAAACTCCTCATGAGCTGAGTATCTTTCTTTCTACTGGACCAACAGGGAAGTACCAAAAATGACATTCAAGCCAATGCCAACCCACCCCCCGCATTTCCTTGCCATACTTCCTTTTTCTAGAAAAGTAAAAAGAGGAGAGAGGGAAAGAGGGACAGTGAGAAAGTGTGCAAGAAAGCCAGGCCTTTTAAGCTGGAGCTGCAAAACCACATCTCTGCAACATTGAAGTCTGGTGCAAGGACATGAGAGTGCTATGGCAGCTTAGCAGCTAAGGGGGGAAAAATGTGAGGTGGGAGTTCCCACCAACAAGAAAACAGCCTGTCCCCAAGCTCTAGCGTGGCATGCTGAAAAGTGGGAAATTAGAGATTCCTCTTAAGTATATAAACTGGCTCAGCTCTCTAACAAAAACTATGTTGTGAAATTATAGGAGTGCCACCCTGATCCAAGTGTGGCATCAAATCTCATGTGGAAATGCCCTCAGTTCTTCTACACCAATGTTTCTTAAAGTGTGGTCCTAGGACCCCTGAGGGTCCCCCAAGACCCTCTCAGGGGTCTGCGAAATCAAAATTATTTGCCAGCCTATGTTGAAAAATAATACACTATTAAAATCCCATCAAACAGTTGTGAGAAGCAGGAGTGGAGCGAATGCATCAATTTTAATTCTTAATATGGTAAATATCAATAACTATAATCTATACAAACAAAAGCTCTTTTGGGGTCCTCCATAATTTTTAAAAGAGGGAAGGGGTCCTGAGAGAAAAAAGTTTAAGAAACACTATTCTATACTGAAGAGATTTTAACAAGCAGAAATTACTCAAGCATTACCTTAGCCACTTCCCTCTCAAAGTACACGTAGAGCATACAGTAATTTCCTGCTTATATCACACGGCTTCCTAAAGGGTTATACAACTGGGCTGCTATGCTCTATAAAAGTTGGTGCTCTAATTGTTGGATCATTAATGAAATTGTGACTGCATTGTGCAGTTCTGGGAGACTTCCACACAAAGCTTTTGAGGAGCAATCACCAAAACAGAGTGACCTTCCTATCTTTTCCTCACTTCTTCCATTTTCTCTTCTTTTTTCAAAAAATCAGGTAAGCTGCTGGACTACTTTTTATAGATGAAGTTAAGATCTCTCTATTGGGAAGCATCCACAGTTTCTCTGCCGAACTTAATTATGGGTTTTAAGGAACATCCTGTAATCCTCAGGATATAACAAGTATTCAACAGGATTTAATGTCCTAAGAATTTAATAGGAATCAAGCCAAAAACTAGTGAGGGCCTCTTACACTATAGTTCCTACTCAATATCAATACTTAAATGATATAGATATCATTTAAAGGACATTACATATATGCTAATATTTCAAAATGTGTGCATAAATATTGCCTTTTTCTTAAAGACTCCCAGTTACCATTTTCTGTATTAAAGGTCTGTGACAATTTATACACACTTGCATTCTTAAGAAAAATAGTCTCTTTTTATTTTGTACTTCATCATTCCTACAGAATGCAAATTGTAATATGAAAAACTTTCCTAAGACCTGGTTGGAAGTATGTGTCATGGTGGAGAATTTTTTTTAACCATCATGGATCAAATCAAAAACAACTGGAGAGTATTTTATTACCCTAAATCATTCAAATAGAGCTTGGGGTATTGAATAGAAGTGCATAACGTTGTGCTTATTTATATGTGAGAGAGAATTTAATTTCTGATATGTTAATCAGTAGTTGGGACAAAAAGGCAGCTGTGTGGCAGAAAGATCAGTTGATTCACAGGAGTATTTTTGGCCGTAGGTATTCTGGGGGTTTGAGAAAGAAACTTGGCAGAGGCCCTCAAATCTGTCTCCTTAGAGCAGTATTTGCTGGGAAATTTTTCTCAATATGTACACTGGCTGGGGTTAAAAAAAGGAATAACTCAGAGTTTTGGACAGCTTTTAGTGGCAGCTTTACATTTCAGACATTTTTTTTGTGTAACTACAAAGTGGCTGAAATCTGAGAATAAAGCGTAGGAGATGCATACAAAGCATTTTGAATTTGGAACGCTTCTCATAAGATTGGTTCAGCAACAAAACACTTTCAGTGAAGTCAGAACAATATTGTGCAGAATTAGCTGTTTCAAATTGGAAATATTTTGTACACTTCTGTTACATTGTAAGAAGTCTATTTCTATCTATTTTTTGCAATGAAAAGTTGTACAGCCCAGAGTTAAAATACATCCCACTTAGATGAAGGTGCAGTCTCAAGATGGAAGCTTTTCCAGCAAATCTTCTTGTTTATAGTTGGTAGCCGAGCAAAACTATTGTGATCCCCTTTGTTACATTTTACACTGATCACCCAGTAATAAATTCACATTTATATTTCTAACGTACTTGGATATATAGCAATGAGCAGTTATATTAAATTATTTCAAAAACCTGTATAGAACAGACAACAAAGCAGTCAATGGTCTACTGCTTCTATTTCACGTAAAAAGGTATTTTGCTTCCATGAAGGAGGAAGGACAGTTCTCTCTTGATTCCATAATTCTCCTTTTGCACTATGACAAATTCTAAAAATCCCCTTTCTAAAGAATAAATCCCACATTTTTTTCCCTTTATATTTTCCCCTCTACTCTGGCAACAAATACTATGTAATGTATTCTTCAATTGCTCTTGATAAAGTATGCATGAATAGCATTTGGCTTTTGAAGCTATTCCAAGCTTGTTGCATAAGAGCTGAAAACCATAACTGTGCCCATTTGTTCCATCAAACTCAGCATACTAAATTTGCTTAAATTCATAGCTAATAACACATAAAAGAACTAAGAAGGAGGACAAACCATGGTCAATTTTTCTGGGCACTTGTTTCATTTCAAATAAATATAAACACATTGAACATTACAAATACGAACACTAGTCTGGAAAAATAAATTGTGATCAACACATCATCATCATCGGTTACAAATGTCAAAGTATCTACTAGAAATAACCCAAGACTCTTAATTACAGAAAACACATTTTGTGCATTTGTGATTAGAAAAGTTACTTGATTTTTTTTCCTTGCATTATTAAAAAAATAATAAAGTCTTCTGAAGCCTTTTGGTCCTCATGGTATAGCTGGTTAGTTCTTTATATTTTAAGAGTCTCACTCTTCTTTCTGTACACCTTTCTCAGGCGAGGAAAAGGGTCCGTTTGACCTAGAAGCTTTGGCAGAAGGAGTAGATATTCATAATGCAAATGTTTAAAAAGTAAACTGATGCCAGCAGGACTGTTTAGTACAACCCAATTCCCTTCTGTAAGATTACTTAACTTTTCCACTTTATGTTTTGGTTTTATCTCCTGTTTGCATCTTAGCACAGCAATAGTAAATACAGAGGATTGTAATTTGATTTATCTCAATGTTGTACACTTTCCAAAAAACCAGACAATGCTTATGATAAAAATCATATTACACGTAAAGGTAACAAAAAATCAATTCAAATGGGCAGGGTGAAACATTTAGGTGCGTTAAGCATTACATTTAGAACTGATTTTTCCTAGAACAAATAATTGCTAGACAGCACAGGTAACAAGTTTCCAAGGATCCCTACTTGGAGAGTGCAAATAAACCATGCATGCTTGTGCTGAATGGTAACAAAAATTAAGGCAAATCTCATCTGCCTCTACAATAATTTCTTTGCTGCAGCTGCAGGTGGGTATGTTGTGACTGAGGCAAGCAAGATTTGATCCTAAAGATTTTAAATTATAAATGGAAGTCGCAAATACCTATTGTTCTAAAAACACCCATCGTGTATTACTGTGATGAATTTAGAAGTCTAAATTGCCACAGAAAGTGGTGATATTGGCAGTATTTGTTCAAACCCAAATCAAAATTTGTGGCTTTACCTTTGGTTTTTATGACAAAGATGCCTAAAAATGAAGACCATCTATCTATACAAGAGATACTAGAGATGGGAATGTCTTCTGACAACCTAGACACACTATACTGGAAAAATGATTTTATATCAGCAGTATAATATAGCTAACACATTAATATAAATGTAACAGTTCCCTGTTTACTTGTGCTGTCAAAACAGAAAAAGGCAGCTTCTTTGTTCTGCATATAACAGGAGGTAGAGACTTCCAGAGGAGCCCTTAGAATTTATGGAAAGCACAGTAGTGCTGGAAGTAGAACATTAACTAGAGTGCATTCTAAAAAAAATCCTTAGATTTTCTAAAAGGCTCTATTTAATTGCAAATTTTAGTCTTTGCCGTTCTCATTCATAAATGAAGGTGACCTGAAACTCAGGAATTCAGGTGTTTCTAAAGGAAATTTCAGATTAAATCCAAATGCAAACAAGAAAGGAGCACTGAATGTTAAAAATCAAAATGTTTCAGAATCAGAATCATTTTCATTGTATCCGTTTTCTGCTCCTACATCGTTACTCAAGGGTTTACTATATGAGTTAAGGGTGTTACTCATATTGGAGCTATTGCAGAGATGAGTCCTGCTCAAATGGTCTTTTTTAAAAGAAACGAAGTTGAGAGGCGTCATTGTACTGGAAGGAGAAAAAGGCATCATGGTAGCCAAAATGAGTGCCAGGCAGTCAGCCACGTCTTTGTTAGGAGCGCAAGCCAGGGCTGGTGTATGACCTGGGCACAAACGCAGACAAAGCCATGGTTAGTACTAGGGGAACTGGGAAAAGATCTGAGCATTCCTTGGATACATCTCCATATGAGCTCATAGCCTGGAGATGTATGTTTAGTCACAATCACAGCAGACAAGCCAGTGTTACTTTTAAAATTAGACATGCTGGGAAGGTACATAATTCACAAAGTGGTTTTAAGCCAATATGATCATAACAAGCACTATTTAATAAAAAGCAAAAGGCAACTTAAAACCTCCACAAAATGAAATAAAAACAGGTAGACCACGCTCCTTGAGGACAATGTGAATCAATATGAACCAAGACCCTGTTAGACTTAAATCACAGGATAGAAGTTCTTATAAGAGTTATTCTGAGACCAATGGCTTTCATTCAAAAGTAACTGTGTAATATTTAAGAAAAAAATTAGTAATATAGATTTTTTTTTTACAAAAATAACAATCTGATTAACATTAATATAGTGGATGATTAATTCTGCAATATTTTCTATTAGGAAGTAAAATATTGGTAACCTATTATAAATAATTCAAATGTTCAATTTTAGCTAAATTCAATCATGTTTATTAAAATGTGACAACTGGGTCTCTCTCTGTAGAACAAGTAATGTTGTCGTTACTATATATTGGATATCAAGATTGGGAAATCTTCTCTCACGGGGAAAGTGAAAGGCAAGTGATCTCAAGAAAGTGGCCACTTCTTTCCTTCCGCTCACACATTTCCAGAATAGCAGGGGAGTTTGTCAGATATCCCATCTCAAACAGCATCACAGAAATTGGATGTGAACACATACACACGCACATATACACGTTGCTTTCTTAAAGGCCTGTTCATAAGTTTCTGCACTGTGCAATGAGAAGGAGGTTTCATATCTTTCCACATAGAGCAGAAATAATGTACTATTATTATTATTATTATTATTAATAATAATAATAATAATAATAATAATAAGCCATAGAAAAAGACACTGATATTTTTCTGTATAGGCAATACTTTCCTTAGTTTAAACACAATGCAAAAGACATTATCTTCCCAGTTAAGTCTTTTTCTTCCATATATCCAGGAGAAGGAAATCAAAAGCTTTCACTTCTGTTCTTGGTTAAATATGGTTCTCCAAAGTAATGTTTAATATTAGTTTAAACTATGCTTGCTGAAGCTGATGAACATTTCAGAACTCCTTGTTGCTAGGCAGGAAATGGGGAGAATACACTGGCTCAGGGAGAGATTAAGTTCATTACATTTCACTAACCCAATGAATGAAGACTAAACATGAATGCTTTAGGCGATCCACAGTCAATATCCCAATAATGATTGTGGTCCACTAAATACTAAATTGTCTATTTGAGAGATGATATTTAAAAAAAATCAGAGTATTTAGCAAACCATCAACATGCTGTGATACTACAAGAGAAGTCCATAAACTACATATTTGCTAAAAAAAACAAAACCCTCTGCTGTTGGTGGATTCCCTTTTACACACACACACTTAATATGGAAATTCATATGAATGCCCATTTGTACTTATAATAGTAAGTTATTTAGAATATGGACTTCCCTGCAGCTTTAAGTTATTACTTAGTGATGTTTTCTATTTGCTATGAAAGCAAAGGGAAGCTTCAGAGTACATCTGAAACCATACAGATGCAATTACAGTTCCATTCCAATTCAAATACTGTATCTAAATACACAAAGGGATCATAAAGGGCTTTTTCTATCTGAAATGTAGGTCACAGTGCCATACCTTATTTCGTGTAGAATGTTAACTGGAAAGGTAGTTGAACTTTACTCCAAAACTGACAAAATAGCCCCTGCCACCACAGAACGTGGTGGGCTAATCTAGGGGATGCAGTGCAGCCATTTGGCCTATCCTCTTCTGTGCATCATCAACTGGCTGCCAATCTCTACTGCCCTGCTACCTTCCCAAGGTAGCAGAGGAAAAGCAAGAGCATCAGCACTAGATGTATATCACATGAGCAGAGCAACAAGTGTGCATGCACAATACCTTAGCCTTTCCCAGCCAAATTGTTCATGAGGCTTTGAGAGATGTTAACTGCTGAGGTAGCCAGACAGCATAAGCCAGCATCATTGCTGCTATAGCATGATCTCAGGATTGTGAAAATAGCCTGGATGTGTTGCTCCTTACCAACTCTTTGCAGCTGCCCAGCCTAGCTGGAGGTTTTTGATTTGGCCCCTTGCTGACAAAAAACCCAGTACTTCTTAAATATATATTTTTTGTATTCTTATACTATTTTTATTGTATTTTAACTAATATTTATTTCTTGTTTTTATTGTAAACCGTCCAGAGGCACTTCCTTGCCAGATGGGCGGTGTCCAAATTTGAAATATAAATAAATAAACAAACAAACAAAACAGTTCCTTGGAATTGTATGGTAGGGGCAGTGGTATGTTGGAGCCGGCTTGCAAGACCCAGTTGTTAAATTTTAGGGAATTCCATGAGACAGTTGAGAGCAGAAGAGGCCTTGTGCGCCAATCACCGTTTGGCGGATCACAGTGTGGCTCAGCAGCAACAATGGAGTTGGCAGAGTGAAGGTGAAAATTAACCAAAGAATCAGCCTGGCCTAACAAAATGGCTACGGATAAGCTTTAATGCTTAAAAGGCTTAGTAAAATGCTTAAAAGCACACAAAATGACAAATAGCTTACTCAGTGGCTGGAAGTACAACCTCAGGGAATGGCTACTGAAATAAGAAAGTTGACTCCTGAATGTTACTCAAGGCTTGCTGAATAAACGGAATCAGGGCTAGGAATGAAGAGTTGCTAGAAGGATGGGTTCTGTTGCTAAGGGGTGCTATTGTAAAGATCACTATATAAGTTTCTGCCTTGCCCCCCTGTTGATGGGCAGAACCTTGTATTCTGTCCCCTGTGCAGTTCAATAAACTTGGCTGAACCAGATTGTATGGTTTCCACTTATATATTGGATCTGGGGATTTTTTCCCCCCTTCAATTGGTGTCAACAGTGGGATTTGTTATACATTTATCAGCAAACCACTGAGTGGAGGTGTACAGTGTTACAAAACTACTTTTGTATAAGGTAGTCCTCACTTAATGACAGTAATTGGGACTGGAATTTTCATCGCTAAGCAACATGGTCATAATGCAAAACATTACATGACGGTGCCGCTTAGTGATGGAAATGCCAGCACTTCCAGTTGCCATCATTAAGCGAATCACTGTGGGTCATTAAGCAAGCAGCCTCCTGCTGGCTTCCCCACTGATTTTGCTTGTAGGAAGCCAGCAAACAAGGTCGCAAATGGCAAGCATGTGACCATGGGATGCTGCGACCAACATAAGTACCACTCATTCAGTGCCGTCATAAGTTCAAATGTCTGCTTTAAGAGTGGTCGTTAAGTAAGGACCACCTGTATTAGCTACTATATGGTGCCCATAACATGATGAATAAATAAATAACATAACATAAGAACATTAATTATATGTTGCTATGCATCTAATTAATTACATGTTGCTATGTATTCATAATAGAAACTTTTCTCAAAAAATTATGATTCCAAAATTATTTTGAATCCAATTACAATTAATCAGTTTTAAAAATGCTGGTAAATGCCACCAGCTACTTTGTAAAATTAAATATATTTGCAGTGTGCAGGCAGAGGGAGGACTACATGGGAATCCTATTTCTGAACTGTTCCTTATGTCCTGTTTGCTCCATTGATTACAAATAACTGAATAAATCAGTTAAGACTCTGCAAATGCTAGTATTACCCAATAAATTAATTTAGATCTGTGCAAATACTTGGGCTCACCAACTGGAAATTTTACTTTTTTTTTTAACAGTGGACTTCCTATTACACACTACACCATAAACTGCTTTTTATTAGGAAGCAGAGTAGGTGAAAGAGAAACTAATGTCTTTTTCATGATTTCATAGAGTTGGGGAAAATGCTTCCTCCAAAAACGGAGGAAGAAGATTGGTTTGTGTGTGTGTGTGTGTGTCTTATTTCAGTTCTTAATTTTTATTTTTAAAAAATTAAAAGTTTAACTGCCATCACACAATCCAAAGTTATTTGTTTAAGCACTAGCTTTGCATTTTTAATAACAATTTTTTACATAAAATAATGGGCCTTCCTTCCCCTATGAAATGCCTTTAGAATTTTAAGGACTTCTTGAATATTAAGAAAAATAACTCTTCTTTAATGAGTAGGGAAAGAGGGAGTCAAATGCATGCCACTATTTTTTGGTACAGCTTTTTCTTCACAAGCCCAGTTCCTATCTTTGGATTCTAGTCAGAGTTTTACTTTTGGGTGTTCAATATCTGATCAACATTTAATTAAAGACTTAATATTGTTACTCCCTAACTCTCAAAGGCCAAGATCCAAAAAGCTACATTAAATGTATGCTTAAGACTTCCATACCTCCATATGAACATTCGGCATATTTAATATAAATCCCCTTCAAACACTACATGCCAAATGGATTTAAACTTCTCTCAATGGTTTGTAATGTAGTATAGGTACAATCTATGAGAAACCTACATCCAAAGCACCTTGGGCCTGCAAAGCTAAGCATATAAGATCCTGAGATATGTTTGATCAGGTTCTTTTCCTACAAGATTACCATCTAATGATCAGATATGTAAGCTGCAATATTGTATGTAGGTTCAAAATGAAAGGTGATTTGCCTAAATATTATTCAGAGGGCAAAAATGGAAATGATTCTCAATGGAAGTTATTTGAACATTTATAAATATATTACATTTGGTCTTAGCCAAAAGGCGAAGAAGCAGGAAATGTATAAAATTGCTCCCAGCCAAGGCCACAAGGTGGCAGTGACTTATTGCGTGGCCAGAATGGGAAATAGTTATGACTTCAGAAAGAATGAGGATACAGTTAAATATCATATTATAGGCTTTGCTTCCTCTCCATAAAATGAATGCATTAATATATTTAAAATGCAGCCGTCTTCCATATAATAGTTCTGATGTCTTTATACAACTAGAAAATTCTGTGATAACTTTACATAAGGAACAGTTGCCAAAATGTATGCAAACGAAATAATAATGAGACTTGTTTTTATATAATAGTTTAAACAGAAGTAGTCTCAGTAGATAACACAAATTTATTTTTACAATTAGGGAATTAATGACCATTGTCAGCAAGCCTAAAAATATTTTAGAAACACATATACATATGTAATAAATAATGGATGCTAATTTATTGTTCATAAATGATAATATGAATATCTTCACTTACCATTTTCATCTACTGCCAGTACACACGCCCCCTTTGCTAATAATTCCTCAACTACCATCTTCAAGCCATTCTGTGCAGCAATATGAAGAGGTCTGGAAAATGTAATATCTAGATTCAGTAGGTTTGATGTCTTTCAAAAGTCTACCATGATATTATGCACAGCTTGTTCAAGTGCTTAAGTACATTAAAATTTATGTGAACTCTCTATTTGCAAAATGCAAAAGTATAATTATATGAGACTTTAATGTTACCAAAATTGTTAAATAAATAGTAAAGTTAATTAAAATTATACTTACGTTTGCAATGCATTGTTTTTTGCATTAATAAGGCTCTGTTCTTGTATCTTGTCAAGTATTAACAAGGCACATTTTTCATGACCCTGGGAAACAAATACACACACACATTTATCTATATATATGTATTCAGAATATTCTATCACACATAGTTTTTTGTAATCTGATCTTAGTTACGGAGGTCTAGCAGATGGGAGAAGAGAGACTTCCATCTGAAAACGATGGAAATGTATTAAGATGAAAGATAGAGATGCTTTGATAGAGCTTCACCTCTTAGTAGGTACAACACTGCCTACATCCTAACAGTGATCTATTTGGGGAGATGGGGGTGGGGGAGAGAGACAAACTGGAAGTTCTACCAGTAGAAGGAACAAAAAGGACTGAAAGGCCATCTGACTTGTCCAAGCTTCCTAAATGCCCATAGTTACTGCAAGCATCTTAGTCACTTGCCTCCTGCTCTCTACTTAGCCAAAGCCATCACGCTACAGACAGGGGATACAATCAGTTACAGCAAGTCATAATATTCAAGCAAAGGAGAAAGTGGCATAAATTGTTCTCCGGGTTTAGAGAGTTCTCCTTGCTCTCTAAACTTGCTTGTCATCATTCTTACTGCTGATTGCTCAGTAATGGCTGATTGAAAAAACATCCAGAAAAGAGGCTGCCATGAAGCTGTTTATTTTGTTTATTTTGTTTTATTTGTTTAAAAGATTTCTTTGGGCGCCCATCTTAAACACAACTCTGGGTAGCTCATGACAAGAACGATAAAATCATAACCATAAAACCAAAACAAAACAGGCTTTCCTTAGGAAAAGACAGGGTGACTGCCACTCATTCACAGCAGGATTATTTCCATTAAGTATATAGTAGTGAAGACTGGGAGGAGCTGATAAGTAAATATATATATATATGGGAAAAAGCTATCATGGCTTGTAATGGGGTTATACTGAACTTAGAGATTCTCAGAACTAACAAAGAGCAAGCAAAGTCTACCACATTAAATGCAGCAAAGCTAAGAAACCATATTCTAAACATTATCATTTGTTTACACCAATGGAACCTTCAATAAAAAAATGCAGTATTATGGGGCTCTTTTCAGTCTGTTAGCGGACAAGCCAATGACCCTCTTTTCCAAAATCTGGCATTCTGTTCTTCCTCTCCTTGTTTCTCTCTTAGCCCACCCCACCCCAGATGCTGAATATGTCATAACAAAGAGCAAGAGTAGTTTTCACTGGGCTGTTTTAAATCTCCCCTCCCCCTTCATTAACACCATTTATATTACTGCAAAGTGTGGAGTTACTCTAGGTTTCTTGTGATACTTAAACTAACTATATTACTAGGAAAATAATTGCTTTTAGAATGTGGGATGCACAATATGGACTTCAGTTCTTGTTAGGATCAATCAGCGTGGCACAGGACTGTGGGATTTCAGCATTGCCATTTCCAGGGCTTATAAAAAGGCTTTAGCAACCTTTTGAAGTTACGACGGTGTAAAAGAAAAAAAGCTTTGCGACCAATCCTCACATTTACAACCATTGCAGCATCCTGTGGTCACGCGATCACCATTTGTGTGCTTTGCAACTGGCTTGCAACAAATAGAGTTAATAGAGAAGGTGGAAGTAAAATCGTAAATTGCGGTCATGTGATGTTTCACTTAATGACCGTGATGCTTAGTGACAGAGTTGCCAGTCCCAATTGTGGTCGCTAAGCGAGGACTACCTGTACAAATAATTAAAATGAACTTTTCAGTAATAAAGGGCAAATTCCATTGAATGTTTTGGAGATGAGGATTTATTTTAACCAAGCTGTTTCCTCACCATAATTTCATTTAGCTTCATGCACTGTATCATAATATAAAGATTTTAAAATTATCACATTCGGAAAATGTACAGATACTAGGATGTATTAGTTGCTGCAAGTTATATGATACATTAAAAAACTGACTACATAATCATACACTTTGTGTTATACCCCATTTCATATAGAGCCTAATTTACATGGGAAATGTTTACTCTAACACAAGTGCCAATATTTGATATGTTTTGTAAAGCCCTGGGGACACACTCATACAAACACAACCATACACAATTTTAAACATACTTTACTGCTAGCCAAGTGCAAGGATGTATTCAAGTCCTTATCCGTCAAGGTTAGATCGGCCTTAGCACTGTTCACCAAAAAATCTAAGATACCAAAAAACAAAATATTTCATAAGATTACTTCCATAATACCAGCTCAAGTATCTGCAGACCCTTCAAATGAAGCTTACATAATAAAATTAGTAAGAAAAGTAAAACTGTGATAAAAGAGATCAAAGCAAAACTCAATAAAGTAGCAGCATAAAGCAACTTTTTTTCCCTAGGGAAAGGGCTTTTAGTGTTTTAGTGTTCAAAAAGCACAGTGCAGTTATTCTATGTTTTCCTTCTTAACTGATTTTCTGGAACATGAAAAATGCTGGAAGAAATAATGGGAAAAGATGGTAGGATCATAAATGGAGAATGATATTGTCTGGATCGTGTATGTTCTAGGATATTGCCATTGGGTTAGAAGGATGGATGGGCCTGGGTGTTGTGAGGAATAAGAACAGAGGGTTTTGGTCACTATTTTTATTGCTATGGTACTGTTTTAATTTTGTAAAGGTATCTGAAGTCATCTGGAACGGGGCAGCTTACAGATTCAGTCACTCAAACAATCAATTTTTGTTCCACAGCATTTTCTGAATTTTGAACATCCATAAGTCTGTATGTTGCTCTGTGGGGAAACCAATTTAATTGACATAATTTCTTCTAAATTGGTTTTAGAAATAAATAAATATAATTTAACATCTCATTGCCACCATCCAAAATAATAAAGATACTGTTATACTATTGTTATGTCCTCTCATCTGTTCTTTTCTGGTTCTAGTATTTTAGGACAAAAATTTTATATTCTACATTTACTCAGAAGACCAGTTGATAATGAATAATTAAAACTTTATTTAAGAATGACATTACATGAACAGATAAAATGTAATAGTTTCTCTTTTAAAAAGTAACATGCTGATTAAAGGCAGGAAAATAGATGGAGAAATTTTGAGATGTGAAACTGCTGATAGAAAGGTATTGCAAGGAATGAATGTTTGTTGAAAATGTGTGATGTAAAACCAGAAGAGACAGTCCACAGTAAATGGGTGGTGGATAAATGAATGTGAACTGAATACAAAAGTGAATGGCCAGTATGGAAAAGTACATTGAGTGGTTTGGTCATATAGAAAATTAATAAGGACTGAATCGCAAAAGAAATATCTAAAGAAATAAGGAATGGGATGAGAGGAAGGAGAAAATGGAGGAAGTTATGGCTGGATGGAATTGAAGAGATCCTAAAAAAAGAGAGATAACAGGTTTAAAGAACTTGCTTGAATTGACTTGTGGGCATAGTAGAAGCAAGGATAGAAAGATATGGAAAGGTACAGAGAAATCTAATTAGGGTAAACTAGATTTACTTAGATTTTATTTTTTTCCCACTTATTTACTATCTTTTATTTACTACTTCTCATTCTTTTTTTGTGCTTTGCTTACTGTTGCTTATTCTGAAAAGGAATAGCATAATGCACATAACTCTGTGTGTGAGTGTGTGTGTATACGTACATGTATTCTTTTGAACAGTGCATCAGTAAATTCCTCCTCTGTGCTTTATTTACAGAATCTGAATGATTGCTTAGTTTGTCATAAGATCTTCTGGTATTTCTTTTTCCTTTCCTATATACTGGTTATTTCCTTTCCTTTTCCTTTCCCTCCAACTGTCAATGGCTTCTCTCCTGTCTTGCTCCCTTTTCTCTTGAAGTTCTCTTAGTCTTCTTCTAAAGAAGTTGCCAGTTAACCCTTTACATGGATTCCACCATGTAACTAACACCCTACTGAAAACCTTAGCAAAGAAATGTTTGAAAGATTTGCAGATGTCATAAACAGAAGCAATAAGGATGGCTTTTTCTTACCCAACAGATATATAATACATTAGGAGAACAATATAATGGCATTATTCTGTCCAGTTCCTAGTAAGCAGCTCCTTACCGACAGTCCCTACATGCCCTTTTTCAGCAGCGATGGTAAGTGGAGTTTTCCCTGAATTATCTGCAGCATTTACTTGTGCATTGTGACTTAAAAGTAGCTGCAAGCATTCCATGTGATCAGCAAAGGCCGCTGCATGAAGTGGAGTTCTAGGAAAAAATGGAACACAGAAACAGTTGGCTGAGTGATTTATTACTGATATCATTTATTTTTATTTATTTCCAATCCATCCAATCCATCTAATATTTCAGGAGAAAATATATTATTTAAAATAATAAAGTATTATTCAAAGGTAAAACAAAATTCACCCTAGAATAAAAGCCATAAAAACAAGAATGCTCAATGGCAACACAAATCTGGTATCTTCAAACCCTAAAGAAAACGGATAGGTATTTAATAATTGCTTAAAAAGAGAAGAGTATAAGCCTTATAAAATGGATTGTGCAGGGAGTTCCAAAAGTGAGGAGCCCTAACTGACAAAGCCTTGTTACAAAATTTCAGTGAAGATTTGTTTAATAAGGCCTTGGTTTTAGCTGAGTTCAGCATTGATTATTTATGAAATCGGTAACTCCAGCTTTTTAAGGATTCAGTAGTCATGTTTCAACCCATCAGATGCAATCAATTTGGTATCTCTTCACTGAAGCAAATGTCTCTGACCTGATGGAAATCTTTTATTAGTGGAATGGGGACACCCCTTTCTTTTATTCCCTCTAGCAATCCGCTTTGGAGGGTTGGAGGAGCCATGGGGTGCTCAATAGTGAGGAAACATCCTTAAAAATGTTTTTTTCTTTCCATTTCACTGACAGATGAGTTTTCCATTAATAGATGAATACCAGTATGATACAAACCACTGTCTCCGTTTTTTAGATGAAAATAAATAACACTTCATCCACATAATTCTTACCTTCCTTTTTCATCTTTACAATTGACAATGCTGGCACCAAATGCCCCAATGAGTAGTGAAGCACAATTTTCATGATCATTTATTCTGTTAAGGAAAAAAGGATATTGGAATGATACCTTTTTATTTAATGTAATTTATTCCATTCATCTGATAGCATATTTGGACATCCTTTCTCTGGGTTGAATTTCAATACAGGTTTGCCATTATACCTCAGTCCAGAACTTTGGTAGCCTGGATTTATAGCCAGCTCTGTCCATAGCATAGTTTGCAAGATACAATATATTAATCATGAATGAACTGGTTCATTAACGCTTACATATTCTTTTACTCCTTAGAACTGTATATACTGTAGGTTCACATGTGTGAACAAGGAACCACTAATGCATACAAACCATACTCCCATCGGCTTTTTCAGAAGTTATAATGAATGCATTGGGATCAGAGGGGGAATCAAAAAATGAAGGGCACATTCCCACTTTCTTCTCTGTTTGTATATTCACTTTACGCATATTACATATATAATCCTCCTATGGTGTTTAATAGGAATGTGTGAAATGATTTCCTTAAAAGACTTCATTTAAAGCAAGGTAATACATTTTTTGTATTTGTTTTTTATTATAGCTTTCCTACTCACGTAACTCTGGCAGCGTGGGATGCTGCTTTCACAGCTACTTAGCAGCAACAACAGATAAAGCCACAGTGATATAGACATGGGAGCTAAATACTGAAAAAGACTGCGATGTAATTCTGTCCCCATTTTTACTTTGACTATCTACAGTATTATTAAGGGTAATAACGTCCTCAGGCATTGATTAAAGTGGGAGTTCTTAACACATTTTCACTAATCAAATAACGTCATTGTCATTAACTAGGGCTTCCATAATTCATTTCTAGTACTTCAACTCCCACTCAGCAATCACAAGAGTTTACTCCAAAAGTTTCTGTAATAAATATGTTAATGTATGAGGTGTCCCAAGACTTTTTCCTGTTTCAGCTACAACAGACTAACAGACTATTTCTTTAGAAATAGGCAGAGGACTGCTACCATGGCATTGGAAGTTAAGCTGATCTGTGCCTGGGATGGGCGATCATCAGAGAATGCAGAACCGTAGGCTAGACTGGAAACTAAAAAAACATCCTTGAGGAAAATAATGGCCAACCACTTCTGAACTACAGCCAAAAAATGAGAATAATTATGACCATTCTCATTAATGTTCAGCCCAGCTCAAGATTGTCTTTACTTTTGCTTTTATTAAAAACCTCAGAACAAAATTTCAAATCAAAGTTTAAAGCACAGAAATACTGGCAAGTACATAAATTATGGTGAAAAGGGTTCATTCCTATTACAGAAATTTGCTAGAAAGCTTTTTAATTCCTCATAACTATGTGTATTGTTAGATTTGAGACTAGTAGTATAAAAATAGCATTATCTCAAAAGTTTTATTACTTTTATATACCAGTTTAGCTTGGCACACAGCCTAGGCTATAGGAAGTGAGATTTACTGTTATTTCTACTTACACTGCACAGTGCAATGGAGAAAAAGAGTTTCCATTAAAGTTGCGAAAAGGTTTCTGTTCCAACAGTACCTCTATACAGTTTTCATTTCCTGTAAGAGATCAGATTATGATTTCAAGTTACCAAAAGAAAAAAGGGCTTAGTATTGTTAAAAGAAATAACCTTTATAATCCGGTTTGGTATTGATTCTATGAAGATACCTTATCCAGAGTCAAAACGGTGCCCTCCCTATGATTGTTCACTCTGACTAGCAGAAATTTCTCAAAGTGTCTTGAACTGAAGATACCAGGTACTGCATATGCTTTATGACTCTAGTTCCTCTCACTTTTTAAAAATTAAATAATTTTATTCATTTGATAACAGTTAAAAAATCACTGTGGTTGCTGTTTGGGGGGCCACTGATAAGCTGCCAGAACTCTCCTATTGCTCAATACAAAACACCTGTGTGTTTGAAATATTGCAAAACACTGGCAGGGAAAGGGAAATCCAGCAACTAGAAGTTCCTACCAACTGAAAAACAGCTCAGAGCTTCAGAGTCTCAGTTTGAAAACTGGACTATTTGCAATTTGTACCAGAAATTGGGTCAGCTGCCAAATGGAGACAATGTGGACATGGCATGGATCTGGGAATGATGCCAAAGCCCTAGCAATTTACAACAAGGTGCAATTATTGTTTAGAAGCTCTGTAATCTCTCTTTGCATCCAATTTCCACACCAAACTTAATACTCGATGATAAATATCTGCTTAGCATAAAATATTACCATTATAAGAAGCCCAGTGCAATGGTGTATAATTCTGATTATCTTTAAAACTGTAGTCTTCTTCTGAAAGTGCCAACTGCATTAATTCACCCAGCCATGTGGCATGACCACGAGCTGCTGCATAATGTAGAGGTGTCCTGCCTCTGGCGTCCTTACACAGAATTAATACTTCTTGTTCCAACAGCATTTGAATGCATTCTTCATGCCCTGTCATAATCTGTTTTTTTAAAATAAAATTTAGAAATTAGATTCATTTTAGTAAAATATTCATTTATTATTTGGATTTATGCCCTGCCTTTCAGCTCATAAAGCTACTCAAGGTAACCAACGATCTTAAATTAAAAAAAAAACAACTGAATTTTTTAGTAACTTAAAAGCCTGCCTGAAATATCAGTGATAAAGATTTGGGTTGTTTCTGGAGTAAAACATTTTCTACTTGGACAGTCAATGACAAAGAGATTTTTTAGTATCTTGCATATACAGAAACATGGACGTGGAATATTGTCTTCCCCAAAAGCTTAATGAAAGGAAATAATTTTCACAGTGTTCTTATAAAAATATTCTCACATACTACATCAAGGATGCTTCCAGACCAAGGGCTCCTAGCATTACCAGTACCAATACATTGGGCCACTATTCTTTCCTCACTAAAAGATATTTCTGTGATAAGAAAAAAAAAAAAAAGAAGAAGAAGACAGGAATGCTGATGGAAAAACAAAATGAAATTCAGATGGAAGTTGATAGTCTGGGTATTCTGGGCATATCCAAAATATCATTTTTTAAAACTTTAGAACAAGTTTCAAAGTGTTCCAGGCATGTTGGGAGTAATGTCATTTTCAGGGGGTATCCATAAGAGCCAGTCTAAAATGTTTATAGTGATGGTGCATCTTGCACTGGGAGGAATTATTTTAATTTTCCCCAAGCACTCTTGGAAATATAAGAAACTTTTAAAAATTGGGCTACTTGAAAACAACGATTAATTAAATAAATATGAGGATGAGGCAACTTTTAAAAACATGTTCCAAGTATTTCATTATTTAAATTTGAAAAACAGATGAACAACCCCAGAGTTACTAGTTGCCTGGTCGTGTTTAGGTAAAAATCAGACAATTAGATATCCTCAATAGGGCATCTACATATGTCAGTAGGCATACACAATCCTATTACGAACCTAATGTGCTGTGCATGAAGGACTGTTGACAGAAGGCAATGACCTACAAATCCTACATATAAAGCTATGAGCAGACCCCCTCCTCAAAAATTGCCTTTCTTCTAATCATCATAAAACCTTACAGCTTTAATAGCTGATCAACATTTGGGTTGCCAAATCTCTGCCTCTCTATCCAAGAAACAGGATTTTGTACCTGACTTGACTGCATCTCATTAAAGGCAGTCTTCTGGTACTTTCCCTAACTCCAACATATGAGTTGGGAATGGAGCCACCGCTCCTAGAATTGCGCTGAATGTCTGTGGCACAATTCTACATACCTTGGAACTATAATATCTAAACAATATGATCAAAGTATTGTCGAAGGCTTTCATGGCCGGAATACGATGGCTGGGGTGGGTCTTCCGGGCTGTGTGGCCTTGTTCTGGAA